TCAAACGGTGACGTCCAAGTCTTGAGGACGGTCAAAAATGGGGCGTCTACAGCTTGCTACTTTGGCTCATCATTCTAGACTATTTTGGCTATGCTCCCACATGAATTTACTCTTGTTTTAGCATACTTAAACTCTATTTTTGGCTGGCTTGGCCACTTCTTGCTTGCATTTTGTACTTGTAGTGCAAATCGTCCTTACTAGCTTAACATGCTTGATGTTGTAGTCTATTATTTTAGCATGTATTGGCTCCATTTCAGCATATTTTTGATAATGTTTTGACATTCTTTAGGACTCTTTTGAGTGGTCTTGGTCATATGAGCCATGCTTTGTATAGCTATAGTGCAAGTGCCTTTACTAGTCTTGAGTTTTGAGGCACTTAGCATGCTATATTAGTGATGTGTGCATGATGTGGCAACATTTGGTATGTAATTTCAGAGCTTATATCTTTTCCATACTTCCACTTAAATCACTCTTTCAATGCTTTTGAGAAGTTGAACATTATGCCTTGTTTGTGAGCCAATACATGAGCTTATTGTTCTTGCCATCTATGCTACAAGTCTAGCATGTTTTTGCCACTATTTTGACCTACCTTAGATCTGTTTTGAATGGTTAGGGTCATTTGAGCATTGCTTAGTATGGTTGTAGGGTAAAGGGCCTTGACTAGCTTTGAGTTTTGAGGCCTTTACATGTTATGTATGTGATGTTTGCATGGTATGACACCATTTAGCATGTAATTTCAGTGCATATAGTATAGTCACACTCTCACATATTCCACTCTTTCATTGTGTTTAAGAGTTGTGCCTGCCTCGTTTATGAGCCAATACGTATGCATGATTGTCTAGGCTTTGGGCTATCATTTCAGCATGTTTTGGTCTTTGTTTTGGCCTAATTGAGCTCTGTCCATGGCTGGTTTAGACATTTGTGCTATGTATTGCATGCCTCTTGTGTAGTGCCCTTTACTAGCCTTATGCTTTGGGCCTTGTACCATGCCTTATTTGTCATGCTTATGTGATATGGCATCATTAAACACATAGTTTTAGAGCATATAACCTTGTTAAAATCTCATGTTTATCGCTCTTTACTTGTGCCCTTATGCCTTGTTGATGAGCCAATGCATGAGCATCATTATCTTGCCTTTCATGCTATCATTTCAGAGTGTTTTGGCCACTATTTTGGCATGCATGAGCTTTGTCTATGGCTGGTTTAGTCCATTGAGCATTGCATTGCATAGTCCTAGTGTTGCGTACTTCAATGTCTTTCATGCTTAAGTCCTCTAGCATGCCATACTTGTATTTTTAGCATGCTATGTCATCATTTGGCACATGATTTTGGTGCTTGTACCTCTGTTATGCTCTCATATATGTCACTCTTTCAATGTGTTTGAAAATTAGAATTTGTGCCTTGCCTGCGAGCACACAAATGGGCATGTGTTCCTTGCTTTTTGTGCCTAAATCTTAGTGTGTATTGGCCACTGTTTTGGAGCATCTTAGGTCTGTCCATATGTGGCTTGATCATTTGAGCATTGTAGTGCATGCCTCATGTGTAATGTACTTCATTAGCTTTGATGCCTTAGCTTCTAAACATGCCATCCATGCATTGCTTGCATACTAGAATCTTGTGCATGCCACTTTAGCATTGATAGATAGGCATATTGTATGCATTGCATTGTGTTTGGATCGGACGTTAATCCAAACATGAGGAATGTGGCACGTTTCATACTCAAAGTGATGAAACATGTTGCGTTTCTCGGTCACTGACACCCTTGATAATGCATGATAGGGTGGAGGCTCTTCGAGTCTTGTTTGTGCATTCACTAATGTTGTGCGAGTTTGGCTCTTTGGTCGTCATGCATTGAGACGCGTGATTGGTGGCTTGAGAGTCAAGTACTACGCTCCTTTGAGCTTGAGAAATGATAAAGAGAGTAGTTGCACATACATTTCCTTGTAAATACATTGTTGTGCCTTTGTTGATCTCTGTTGCAGCAAAATTGAGGTTCTGGAAAAGGAAGTGGCCAGCCAGCCACTTGCACTAGCTTGCCGGCCAGTTGAAGTGGACGGCCGGTCACTTGCAGCAAATTTTTCCAAAATGCTCCTATTTTGAGGCAGATGCAACCTGAAAGTGTGTTCGATGCTCTAAGGTCACCGCGAGTGCAAACAGAGACAACTTGTGGCAAGGCAGTGCATTTCTGGGCGAAGCAAACCGAGCATGCATTTCTCCCTCGCCCTCGAGGCCATTTAACTGCTTTACTTGCTAGTTAGTTTACCGGCTTTGTAATTAATTAGTTAATGTGCTTAGCTAATTTAATTCGTCTTTGTAATATTCTAAATAGCTTAGCATAGCTAGTTTTCAATTCGGCTTGTAATTAATTAGCTTAGTTGGTTAATTAGTTTGGTCTGTAATAAGTAGCTTGGCTTAGCTCTTATTTATTCGGACCCTACGGAGGGCAAATGTTGTAATAAGTGTGCGTGCGTGTGTGCATGTCTTCCAACCCCCACTTCTTTCTCCTTTTTACTTATCAGCTTTTGATGGTTAGATTAGGACATATTTCAATTAGCATACCTTATGCTTTGCATACGTGCATCATTCATTTGTCTTGCATGCACCGGGCTCGGCACATCATTCAAACTGCATCGTATTTCAATACCTATTTGAATACATGTATCAAAGTGTTGCATTCATATGCCATTTTAGGTAGCCGAGCCTATTTAGTTGCATTTTGCATGTGTTGCATTAGGCATCTTAACATAGCTAGGATCATGCATTGATTTCTAACTAGCTTTTGTTTTGGCTCGGAGTACACTGTAAGTGTTTACGCTTTAGCATACCGCATGAGATGTGTATGTTGCCATGTTAGCATGCTTGCCATGAGCCTATTTGCTTAACTGCTATAACTGCATGAATGCCTGTGGATGAAGGCTTCATTACTTGAATTGGAACAATTCATCAAAATGTGCGTTTTAAGCTCACTTTGTGGAGTGGCAAAATCATCATGCTTTTAAGCCCACTTGAGGGTGGCAAATCCCCATTTCTAAGTCCACTTGAGGGTGGCGAATTCAAACCATTTTCGAAAACAAACATTAAATTGTTTTGTTCCAATTTAGGCGATTTAGTCTATACTTGTGTGTTGTGCGCCTCACACAATAAGTTAGATTAATAACCAGAATAAGAACACATGTGTTTATCAAAACAATGTATCATGTTTAGTAGAGGCCAATCTTTTGATCGGGCGAGCGGGGGTGCTCATTTCAGGACCTTCCCCTCTCGTACCCAAGTTCCTGAGCTGAGGCAACTTTGGTGATGACGGACACGTGGCCTTTGGCACGAGTCAGGGTTTCCTAAATTTTCCCAAAAACAAAATATTTAGGTGGCGACTCTGAAATCTGGCAAACCAGTCCATGTTTGGCGTTTTTTGATAAAAATCAGTTTTTCAAAACGATTTGCCGGATTTGGACACTTTGGTGATTTATCAGTCTTACATTGCACTTTGTGAGATTAGATTCAGAACCGTGACAGGAGTTCGAACTGTACCCAAATCCGCGCCCTCTCTGAAAAGGGGGGGCGCGCGGAGGACGTTCCGGCGGTCTACATCAGTGATATTTTTTGTGATAAAATTTTTAAATTATCACTGAAAATTAATAATTAACAACATTTTTTTAATAGTCTTTGATAAAAAATACTATTAATTATTATAAGACCTATTAAATAATAAATTACTTATTAAGACATACACGTAAATCTCTCAATTTAAGAGTTTTCAATAGTAAACTTTGGATATGGTCATCTTTCTTAGGTTTGAATGTCAAGGAAAAGTTTAAATGGTAATAATTTGTGGGGATAGTAAACTTTGGATATGGTCATTTTTCATAGGTTTGACTTTCAAGGAAAAGTTTAAATGGTAATAATTTTTTTTTTTTGGGGGGATGAGGGGTGGGGGGTGCAGGGACGGATCCAGGATTATGACTTTGGCCCCCCAAAGTACGTTTAACTTCTAACCAATAAAATTTGAAGTTCAATACCAATTTCTACTAACATGAAAAAAATCAATAATGTTACGATAAAATATTGAACTATATATTACTTGTCAACATAGTTGAGTACGAAAGATGATCATATAATTGAGAATATTTTTTTTGCCCATATTCACTTACAAAAGGTAGTAACTATTTCTACATGCATTTATTTATTAAAATTAGGCATCTTCAATTGAGCTCGACGCTCTTTCATTACATCAAACCCTCGTGCAATGTTTTTTCAATGTATGTAATAAAGTAACTAGCCAGAAAACCATCTTCCATCCTATTGCATAATTTAGACTTAACAAGTTTCATAGCTGAAAATGAACGTTCCGATGTAGCAGTTGAAACAGGTAAAGTCAACACAAGACGGATCAGTCTATCAATAAAAGGACAACTTGTCGACTTTTTTTTTTTTGTTTTTGCCAACATTTAACACAACTCAAAAATGGTTGATAGCTTCTGAAACTCGGGAAGTATGGAAATATCAAGCTTATAGTTTTCCAACTGATACTTCAAATGCAATTTTTCTTGCTCAGAGAAATCCATGGGATAAAATTTATTTGCAAGATTGCAAATATCCTCAATTTTGAATGATCTATAACTATCCCTAGGATCCAAAGTTGAGTTAAGAACAAGCAATTCCATTACATCTTCCTTAAACCTATTGTTTAATTCTTGTAATTGAGAATCAACTGTAACCATAAAAATATTAACTCGAAAATGATGTTCCACTGTGAGCTGATCTCTTTCAGAACGAGACCGACCTCGGCCTCCTTTATAAGGACAGCTCATATCAGGAATCTGTATACCGTGATCATTAGAAAATAATTTAATTTTCTCCAACAATGGAACCCATCCATCTTCTCTAAATTTTTGAATAGGGTCCTGCTACGTTTCATGAAAACTGTCATGAAAACCATCTGCACCGTTGGATCATGAGACACATACCTGATCTAACGGTGCAGATGGTTTTCATGACAGTTTTCATGAAAATTCTTCATGAAACCTAGCATTTCCCTTTTGAATAAGTATCTTCGTTATAGACACCAAATGCATTGCATTTAATATATCTTGAGATTTACTTTGCAAAGCTTGGCAAAGATTATTAATAATCTCCATGATATCCTTCATAAGATGTAAGATGGAGACAAACTCAAAAGATGTAATGGAATCATAAACTTCATCTGCCTCAGTTCGTTGATTTGATTTGCTTCCATTATTAATTATGTTTCTTAGGACTGCACAAGTAACACTAAACATGTTTATCAAACTACAAATGGAACCCAAATGAGAACCCCATCGAGTATCTCTAGCCCATTTCAATGTTCCAATCTGATTTTTTCCTTTACCAGTCTCAAATTCATCACCAATGGCAAGCTTTTCAGCAATATCTGCAGCCTAAGCAGCTCTTAATTGATCATGTCTTTTGCAAGATAAGCCAACTATATTAATTGCTCGAGTCAAGTAAGAGAAAAATTGATTGATAGATATAACCTATTTAGATGCTCCTACTAAAGCCAATTGGAGTCGATGAGCAAAGCAATGAACACAATATGCGAATGGACACTCAGCACAAATTTGAGCCTGCAACCCAGTCCATTCTCCAGACATGTTACTGGCACCATCATATCCCTGACCACGAATATTTTGCACACTAAGGTTATGATGAGAAAGGACAATACAAATTTCTTCTTTTAAAGTTGTCGACGTGGTATCTAACACATGAACTATGTCAAAGAAACGCTCTTTTATAAAACCATATTTATCAACAAATCTCAAAATAATTGCCATTTTCTCTCTTTTCGATTCATTTTCAGATTCATCAACTAGAATGCAAAAATTCCCATCATTAATCTCCTCACAAATGAATTTTTGTATCTTATCAGAGAAGATACTAAGAATCTGCTTTTGAATCCCATGGGAATGATAGGAAGCATTTTTAGGAGCATTTTCCAAAACCATTGTTGCCACATCCTCATTATAAAAAGCCAAGAGCTTTATCAACTCAATAACCTTCCCTCGGTTGTTAGATTCGTGGCGTTCATCACGACCTCTAAAAGCACAGGCTTGGAATGTTAACCATTTAATCACATCTATCGAGGTCTTCAATTGTAAACAATTTCTAGCAATTTGTATGGAAGTTTGTTTTTCAACAACTAGCCTATCACCCATGCTATGCACGGTATAATTATAGATATTTATATTTGTTTTACATTTTTTTAATATATAAATTATGTTTTTTAAGATTTTTTATAAAAATAATTTAACAATCTTATCACTAACCAAAGTGTATGAGAGAAGTTGAAAATGATATTGCAGTAACTATACACAGATTGTATCTATAATTATTTATATGAGGGGATTTTAAATGCTGATCAGGGAATTTTGACCACATCAATAAATGCAGGCATGTAGAAAGACATGTGGATTGAAAAAAAGTTAATAAATGCTGATCAGGGAATTTTGACCAAATCAATAAATGCCGAGTTTTTTTTTTTTTTTTAAATAAAAAATTTAGAAAATTCAGATTGGGATATTGAAACTCCCACAGGCCTTGGGGGATAAAAATCCCCTTTTGCTTAATATATAGTATAGATTGCCTCAATATGTTGCGCTTGATTTGTTAAATCACAACAATATTTGACAGCAACTCTATGCGATGAGTTAGGATCCTTGCCCATATGCGATAACAAAGGACAATTCTTCCCTTCATTGACTTTCTTCCAAGAAGAAAATCCCTCGACTGTAAAAGCACTAGATCCAGGGCGTCCAGTTGGCTCAGTAAAAAGAAAACATTGAAGGCAAAACGCACGATTTTTTGTTGGAGAGTATTCCAACTAATCCAGAAATAACTTGTACCAAGAATCTAAAAAACGACGCCCATTCTTATCAGTTTCAAAAGGTTGATTGTTCGGAGCCTTGGGTTGATATGGCCCGAATTTGATATAAGCACGTCTGATCTCATCACGTTTAGATACCGAGTAATCCCATATTTGTTGACGCAACCCCGGATCCCTCACCAAAGAAGATGTATCAACATCTTTAGATTCGACTCTTGGAAGTTTAGAAGGACGTTGTTCCAGAGGAGTTGAAGTTTCAACATTATTGGTGGAACTTTAACAGAAATCTAACTATTTCTCCTGTGATAGCACTTTACATAAGGACATTATTGCCACCCTGATTAGTGATTATAATGTAGAAAAATGGATCCCGTAAGTGACCTGAATGCAACTGCATGTGGCTTTCCTAAATTGTATCAAACATGTAAGTGTTAGGTAATCATTGGATTATGAAACCAAATGCAGAAAACACTACTTGGAGAAATAGCAGCACTAATTTGCTTGGAGGCTGAGTATATCTGTTTTACCAACGACATTCGCTTTATAAACCATTCGCCGACCCAGAAAACAGTGCCACCCACCCATGATGAGGCAAATATACCAATAAAGAATATAACAACTAATGATGTTACAAATCCAAGGCCTGCACCAGGAAAGGCAAGATTATAAGAATCAAAAAAATGGAAAGGTTAAAATGATAAATAATGTGCTTTTTGCATTATAGGTTCTAGTCTTTCTCTATATATATCGATTTGAGTTAGGTTGAATTTTTGTTTGTGTCTAGGCGAAAAACTTTGCAACATTGATATTTCTTGTTTTCAATCAATTCCAAAAAATAGTTTGAAGATGGATCTATCTCTTTGTGGCTGTTGGATTGCATAGCCTGATGATATATATGATATCTGCCTTTTCTTGCTCTATTATGTGATTGGTTTTCAACTGTTTTTACCTCTGTTTTCCAAAGCAAAAGTATTTTTACTATGGAGATTTGTTGGGCTATAAAAACAACAGCAGCAGCATCTATATCTTCATTTCCAATTAATCAGTTTTGTAGAATTTCCAGTCATTTTGAATTTTGTTTCTGAAATCCATAGGTTGAATTGTACAAATTTGCAATCTTTTTCACTAGTTTGAAGCTAAATTGTTCCAATTTTGTTATGGATTTAGAATTAGTAATGGGAGCTTTCATTGCTCAAATTCAAATTTGTTTACACACTAACATTACACTTTTCATTGATTGGTTCATTTGGAAAGTAATCAGATATTTCGACCAAATGCTCATATATTGCTATATATTGAGCCATATCTCATAGATTGCAAGTTGAGAAATTGTGGGAGCTTCTCACACTAAAAGTCCTCTCCTCTAGAAACTTTAGAGCTGAAAACTCTCTCTCCCTAGAATTCTCTCATTTTCCTCTTGTTTTTGAGCCTTAAGCTTAGAATTCTCTACACTTTTGCAAAGAGACCCTTAACCAAAGTTGATCACCATTGGGCTGAGATTCCTTGGAGCCTTTTTTGAGCTCCAAAAGGTGGTTCTAGCTCAGAATTGGACCTGTTTTGCAGCTGTGCTTCAAGGGTAAGAACTCTCTCACTTTTAGCTTATTTTGCATGCTTGCTTTGCCATAGTTTTCAACTACTTTGGGGCTGTTTTTTGGGGTGGTGTTGAACTGAAAAAAACTCTATTTTTCAGTCCTAAAAAGGGTGGTTTAAGCCTTGTTTGGCTAGGGGTGTTTCCTCCCTTTTGCTCCTTGGCTTTTAAAGCCTTTTGAGCCAACTTCCAAAGCTTTTGAAACTATCTTGTTTTGGCCTTTTAACCACTGAATTCCAGAGGAATTTTAGTGGTAGAAACCATATTTTGAGGTCTAAAGTATGACGGGGTGGCTTCCCCTCCTTGCTTCTTGGTTGCATGCCTTGTTGGCCTAATTAATGAGCATGTTTTTCTAGCATGTGTTGGCTTGTTCCTAGCTTATTTTTGGGCTTATTTCAGCATGGCATAACTCTATTTTGGCTTGGTTAAGTCACCTCTTACATGCTTTTTACACTTGTAGTGTAATCTTGCCATTTAGCCTTACACGCTTGTGTAGACGTCCCCCGAACGCCCCGGGAGGAAATCCCATTTCGTTCGTTTGGGCTCACTACAGTTCAGGACTCAAATTGTCACGGTTCTAAATTTGAACCAAAGAGTCCAAATCCGGCAAATCGTTTTGAGAAAACAGATTTTTTGAAAGAATTGCCAAACATGGACTGCTTTGCCAGATACAGAGTCGCCACCTAAATATTTTTTATGGGGGAATTTAGGAAACCCTGACTCGTTTGCTTAAGGCCACGTGTCCGTCATCACCAAAGTTGCCTTGGCTCGAGAACTTGGGTACAATTGGGAAGGTCAGCTATGAGCACCCCCTTTCGTCCGATCAAAGATCGACCTCTACTAATCATGATATCTATTTTTGAAAACATTATGCATTCTTATTCCGATTAATTAGCTAATCTTACTATGTGATGCGCACAACACAAAAGTATAGGCTAGATCGCCTAATTTGGAACAAAGCATCGCATAGCCGTTTGTTTGGAAATCGGTTTGAAATTTGCTACTCGCAAGTAGGCTAAAACATGGATTTCGACGAGTTGTTCCGACTCAAATAATCCAACCTTCACCCATAGGCATTCAGGCAGTTATAACACATAAGCACATAGCCTCATGGTAAGCACGCTGTCATGGCAACGCTTACACTCATGCAAGGATGCTAAAACATAAATGCTTACCGAGTACTCCAAGCCAAAATAGAAACTAGTTAATAATCATATGTATGATCCTAGTTCATGCTAAGATGGCCAATGCAACACATGCAAGATGCAACCACAATAGGCTCGGCTATTCTAAGATGGCATATGATGATGCTACAACTAATACGTATTCAACTTGGAATTGAAATACAATGCAGTTAGTATGATGCGCCGAGCCCGGTGCATGCAATACTGATGAATGAATGCACGCATGCATAGCATAAGGTATGCTAAATTAAATATGTCCTAGTACTAACCATCAAAAGCAGGTAAGTAAAAGGGAGAAAGAAGTGGGGGTTGGAAGACATGCATACACACACCCACACTTATTACACATTCTCCCTCGCTCGGAGGGACCAAAAGAATAATACAAATTAAGCAAATAATTAACTACTCTAGCTAATTAAATATTATAAAGCTTCTAATTAATTAAAAAAAAAATTAAATACAGCAGGAAAGTGGGCGCAGCCCTGCCTCGGAATGATGGGATGATGCATGCTCGGTTCGCCTCGGCTGGAAACCCGGTACCATGCCACTGTTGCCTCTGTTTACACTGCCCTGCTCCTCTGAAATTTATGAAAGTTTCTAGAATCCTTCTGAATCACTCCCTGAGTGTTGTAGAATATCACCGGCCACAATTCAAATCCACCGGCCATGGGAGTAAACTTATCGACCAAATATTGAACCACCGGTTGGACACTGATGGTCGGTCGGCACAAGAGTGGTCGGCCGGCCATTTCTTCTTGCAGAGCCCTGTTTTGACAGCAGCAGAGGACAGATAGTGCATGGTATGGAATTTTCAAAGCAATGTGTGCATGGCCACTCTCCTTATCATGTTACGGGCTCAAGGGAGTTTGGTACTCGACCCTCGGACCACCAATCGCGCATTTCGATGCGTGATGGTCCAAGAAGTCAAGTGTGCATTTCAATGTGAATGAATACAATAAAACACATGAGTGCTACACGCCCTATCATGTTGAGATCAAGGACATCGACGACTGAGGATTGAGGCGCGTTACGTCACTTTGAGTACTAACGCCCTCATTCCTCATGCTTGGTTTGACACCCCAAACCAAGCAAAATGTAATGCAAGTATGCAATGTGACTCAAGTATGCAACATGTCTCAAGCATGCAACATGAGGTTAAGGTACAAATATGCCAAGTGCAATGTGCCAAACATGCAAGATACAATGCAATGCAACCTATCATGCCAGCTAGGATATGGAATGCAACTAGCTAAACAACATGCAAATGTGCAAAGATGAGACAATGCAAGTATGGAACCAAAGTAATGCAACATGTCAAAACATGCAATGGTGGACTTAAACCGAAATTGGGAGACCTCAGCCCATCCCAAAACAGTGGCCGAAATGATGGGTGAAGGCAACAAAAATGCAAAGCAAACAAGCTTACTAATTGGTCCATTACTTAGACCACGATGCACAACCTTCAAGTATGAGTGAAATGCGATGAATATGAGGATATGGCATTATAATAAACTCTGAAATCTCATGAGAAGTGATGCCAACTCAAACAAAACATGCAAG